CAAATATACGCGATTTAAATCCGGAAAAATAGTTTCATTTCCTATGTTGTTTCATGTAGTTCATATTATTTTTATAAAGTTCATATGATAAAAGCATTTTTGAATAAAAAAGACCTTAATAAAGACCTGAAGGGCCCTGCCACTGCGCTTGTCACCCTGAGACATAAGTTGACAAGTCTCATGTGCCTAGCTGTAACCTGTAATATCACCAGCACCTTTACCTTTCGAAACTGGAAATAGGTAAGGCAGTACTTCCCCAGACAAACTCTTTCACAAGGAGTTCTTCTACTACTTACACGGATACTTGGTTATTCGAATGTTATTGATATCGATAGATTCTTGGTTTCATGCTCTATTTTGTAAAAACTCCTCGAAAATACTGGCCAGATAATGATGCTGAACGTGATAAAACCGAAATGGTTACACTCTCCATGGTCACGGACTGACATGCCTAAGTTATACCACTAGTGATAATCTTTAATGATTATATAATATATGTAGTTACTTAAGTTGAGAGTCAATCGGATTAATTAGGAGTATGGCTGTAGCACAAAGGTCCCTATAATAAATATCAAAAGTTGCTCTAGTAGTAATTAAATAAATATGTTTACAAATAATACAGGATATATATCACCAAATATTATACGAAGTATTCTGCCGTCCACTAACTAAAACGCGGCTAAGGGCAAATGGTCAAATATTCGTTTTAAATAGCAAAAGTCACGAGCACAAAATTATCTTATAAAAACAGTTAAAATTAGTTAACGGAACTGAAAAAGACTTATCGGAACTTGACGACGCATAGCTGAAATATCATTAAACAATTTCAATACTCTATTTATTTTATTCTTTATACTATTATTAAATCTATTTCTATTTGTTATGGTTTTTTTATGATATCTCAAAAAATTATTTCGTCACGTAACCGAGTTTTATATAGCAATATATTATTTACTCGGTAACATTACGTGATTACTATTACTACTACTAGTTGTAAACATCGTAGCATTACGCAGCATGACGTACATATTTCCGTAGTATAACGTTTTATAAGCCTAATTAGGTATATACAACCGTATGTACTTAACGTGGTCGATGATATTCTGAACAGTAAACATCAGTATTTTACTTTTACGGAATGTTACCTGCCTTCACAATTATGATAATTTGTTCATTTCCTTATTTATAAGGGATATTTCGTCAGCGTATACCTAATTATACCAAGAGTGTTTATTGAAGGATATGTGAATAATTCGCTAACTACTATCAGAGGAATGAACAAAAAGTGACCTGTGTTTGACATGCCTGTTGTATACTCCATTGAAGTATTAAAATTCGAGTCGAAAGTCAGAGTTATGCAAATTACAAATTACTTGCCGCATTGTTGTTACTACTAAGAATGTCATTTATGAAAAATACGTGTTGCCGAAACTTTATCTGCGCGTAAAACAGAATGTTAGGTTATGAATCGTTAACCACTCCATTGGTTGTTGGGTATCGAATTGAATAGAAAACAATCTCAGTATAGAGTAGTAAAAAATCGATATCAAAAGTCATTCATCTCCCTACTTTTTTTTTGGGTCGAACATGTCATGCGCCTGGTAGTAAGCTACACGTCTGTCCGCAACAGTTGCAGTGCCACTCAGAGATTTAAATTGCAAAGATCTGAGGGGCACTGCCACTGCGCCCGTCACCCTGAGACATAAGTTGACAAGTCCCATGTGCCTGTAATTTCACCAGCACCCTTACCATTTAAAACCGAAAATCAGTAATTCTGACATTACTGCTTGACAGCAGAAATAGGTAAGGTGCCAGGACTTCACTGGACGAACTCTTTCACAAGGAGCTCTACAGCTACTACTTCTTCAAATTTAAATGGAACCATTACTGAGGTACCCTCTTTCCTACAAAAAAGAATCATCAAAATCGGTTCACAAATGCCGTTATCACGTAACATATTGTATACAAAAAAAAAGACACATATGCAGTCGAATTGAGAACCTCCTCCTTTTTTTGAAACCGGCTAAGAAGTTCAAATGCTTAAAACTTTTACTTACCCATACAACTCAACCAGTCAATAGCTCATTTTGTGTGTTACCCTGTATATTCTAATTGTAATACCAAATAAAGTAGTTTGCAGCCTACTAAACGACACCTATTATGTAGATATATCATCTCTCGATTGTAATCGTACTTAATTTAATTACAAATTACCGATTTTTGCAATAGGACGTATAAATAGGTGTTTTAGTGGTTTCCTTTATTTCCCCATGTCCTCCTTTTTAAAATGTTTAAGTAGATTACCCAATAGTAAGTATTACGAAATTTATTATTCGTCTTTCCGTTACACAAGAAGATAATATAGTTTCGTAATAACATCCTTTTAAGCTCTTCCATCGATTCGTCATCAGTTAAGTAAACCGCAACTAGTTTTGGCAGGTTGTTCTGCACTTTTGCAATATGCGAAATGAGGTAAATCCAAAATGTGTACAAATTATACGTGTAGGTGTTTGGATTAGGAGCTAATGAAGTGGTCCAAGGTGGGTTCTTTCTCATTTATGGTAAGGTCATGAAAAAGTTTAATTTGTTTAATCACGCGATAATTTCATTAATAAAAGCCTTTGTCGATTCTCGACCCCAAGAAGCTATTCAAGCTTCTTGCTCGACCCTAAAATTGCATTTTTTTTTATAAATTAAGGTTTATGCAGCTAGCATTTGGCCAGTACTTTTTTTATTTTTTACATTACACCATTATTTATTACAGGAGAAAATTAAATGCACTTTTATCATAATTCCAGTGAATGAATAACGGTACCTTAGATTTTTAGTTACGTGCACTTTTAGAGTAGGTAAACATTTGACTCTGTGAGTCAGTTTATACAGGAAATGTATCCGACGTACATTGTGGCCATGCGTACCACCTGTGGCTTGACCTATATTGTAACTTCGTATTGTGTAATTGTATCGTAATCGTGGGTAAATAAATAAATCTACATCCTGTCCGTTCGCCATCGTCTCCCATAAATATATGATGTTGTTTAAATACGGCCAACAAGTTGTATGTACGCCGACTATAATACATCTAAATCGATGGTGATGCATTACCTACTGCAATTCAAGCAATAGTAGAATGTTTCATATGGTTGATGAGACTTGAAGAACTATTTTTGTATGTATTTCTTTTTTGTGAACATGGTCTAATTGTTAATTCAATAATATTTTTTATCTTGAAACAAGCTTTGGCTTTTTTTATAATAATAATAACGCACGTACTCGACAGAAACCCTGTGTCGCGAGTGCCATTGACACACACATAGACAACCACAAATTACACCCAAATTAACGAGAGAAATAAATGTAGGCCATACAAATATTTCTCCCGGCCCGGGAATCGAACATAGGACCGCTGCGTGGCATGTTAACCGTTCGGCTACGGAGGCAGTTAGTTTTGCAATATAAATAGAATAAAGTCTTATATTTTTACGAAGCACGGGAGTTGTAATTTTAAGGCTTGAACAGCTTATAATCTTATTACAAAAATAAGTTTTCGTTTGTATAGATCAGTGCAACATGTTATTGGCTAGTGAAAATTGCACTTGTCTAGTGATTAGAGGGGGTGCACGAAAGGAGATATGCACCACATACCATTCCATCGATACGATAACAAGTAAATTATTCCAAATAATTATTATTATAATTTAATAATAATAACGCACACATTCGACATAGCCCCGCACTAGGGAAACCCTGTGTCGCGGGTGCCATGGACACACACATAGACAACCACAAATTACACCCAAACTCACGAGAGAAATAAATGTAAGCCATACAAACATTTCTCCCGGCCCGGGAATCGAACCTGGGACCTCTGCGTGGTAGTCCGGCATGGTAACCGTTCGGCCACGGAGGCAGTTTAATAAAATAAATTGTTTTAAATATATCGTCTATATAACTCTCGACTGTTCTCCCATGGCCTAAGATATTAAATTTGACTTTTTAAATGAGAGAGACGGTAATTCCCAGCAGTGGTACAGTCGGCCGGAGTCAGGGGTTCAGGTTCAAGAACCGGCGAACAATACGTGCCTTATAGAGCACAGAACAGATTTTTGCATTTGAGGTGGAAGCGACATGCCATAGAAATCCAATTATTATTATTGACATTATTAGGCTTTATTCAGACTTATCACAGCGACCACTAACTAATCAATTGTGATCTCCACTAATCACAGTTACGGTAGACAAGGTCAACAGTATTAAAGAACTGAAGGATTTTCCTGGCTCCGACAGTTTTTATGTCCTCAGGTGCCTGTGCCTTTCCAGTATGTAACTTCATGCCCATCAGTGGGCAGCATTAGGTAAGGAGACTACAAATCTCTGTTTTCTCTCTGCCCATTGTATGGCTAAACATTATGTGTATCCCAAACCAAATAAAAAAAACACCTGTCAAAATCAGTTGTGTCAATTCTGTAGATTTTTTTTTTTTTTAATTTATTAAGGCTTTGGCAAAACCATCGGCCTAAACATGAAGTTTATGTTTCTGTAAATATGGCCGCCACAAACAGGATAGGCAAGTTGAGGCGGCGTGCTTGGATTGACTCGGGATTCCTTAAAACGGGCCGCTACGGGTATTCTAGTTCGAGATTCGTATAATTTCGCGTTTTAATCTGCGATTAAGGCACAATAGCACTATCCTATTCCACTTTAAACTAGATTTCACAAAATAATTGAAAGTCAAAATAAAAACGAAACTTTTCCCTCCAAAAGGTCCAGAGCGAATCCTTCTGTAGAATTGTTCTGATGGTAAAAACGGTGTTTTTTTGCGTTGGTAGAACTGATATTTTGTTATTGGTTTATAATGACTGTCTTTAATTTTTAACCAATCAAATCTGGTATCACATGTTGCCTTCGAACACTATTGGTTCGTGGTTACTTATTACATCTCTTTTTCTCATGACACCTCATTCTCTCATGACAACAGGCTGAAACTGAACAAAATAAAACTACAATTGCAAAATATAGGAATGGAAAAAATAGTAAACTTTAATTTTCAAAAGTCTTGTGATAATACTGAAATTGACGATACAATATTTTAGTTATTAATATGGCCGATGCGTCTGAAAAGAAAGTGTAAGCTTTGCATGACTATAACGTTTAACAGGAGGTAAGTTCACACCCAACCTTAAAAATATTTTAGATTTTTTCATGTTGTTTCAGATATTTGACAATTCCATTCTTGTCCCAAGAGTCGGCTAGCTTGGCATGTGAGGTTCTGTCCGTGGACAAAGAGCTGAAAGGAAGCGGTGTTCGAAGAGAGATCACTTCTGAAGGTTCTAACCTACTAATGTTAGTATTTTCAAAGATAAACTAAAGTTTTTCTTAAGAAGCAAATTGAAGACTCGTGGCGCTAGAGGAGAAGACGAATGAGTTAATAATAATAACATGAGAGATCAGTCTCTCTAACTGGCACCTATTGTTTTCATTTATCCCTGCAATAGCATAACTGCAATAATTGTTTAAGGAACATCTTTAGATGTTGTCGTTGTTGGATTCACTCATGCTCCGACTATGTGTGACCCTCTCAATTTAGAGTAAATTCTTCTATGGGTCGGACCCGTCCCAGTTCAATCACTCCAAGAAACCTTATCTGAGATGTACGTGCATAATATATTAAAAAAATCCTTCATAGTTTGTTTCGTAGGATAATTGTAAATTGATAAAACAAAATCACATTTTGCTGAATTAAGAACACTGAAGCATAAAAATAAAATAAAAATTGCATGATGAAGCAAAATATTTGTATTAAAATTACTACCATAATTAGATTTTATTTCACATTATAAAGTTAAATTTAATTACCATCTTTTTTCAGAAATTTGTCTGGGACTGAGCTGAAGAAATTAAGAGTATCTGTTAACTCAATGCTCAAGAATATTTTGTTAATTGTTAAGACTATAAATCAGTTTGAAAGTAACTTACAATAATGCCTGAACACACTCCAGCACCTACACCATCACGGTCTTTGTACGGATTTTTCATGTACCTCTTTAGTAAGACCATGTTAGGCTTATACTGCGCCTGGGCATTTATACCAGATAAGTATTTACATTATTTCAACATTTATTACTACCCACAAAAGTACTGGGCTACAGCTGTGCCAATACAGTGTCTTGTTGCACTTACATTGTTTGCATTCCTCATATACCCTAGTATGAATTTAATGTTAATGACACACATCGATCATATCAATACAATGAGTGATCCTATTTCAAATTATTCAGTGATCTCAAATGAGAACCCTTATAAGATACCTGACATGTGTATATGCACAAATGAACACAGTTGTATGAAACATAATTATTCTGCTACTCCGCAGGATTTGAATGAAAATACAGTGCCTCCACTGCACGATTTGAATATTCGCTTCGTATGTAAGAAACTGTATTTGAATAGGAATAAGTAAAACAAGATATATTTGTAGCACTATATGACAACTTTGTACAAGTAAAAAAAGAATTAAGTCTACATGTAAAGAGTTGTGTAGTTTGTTTAGTTCAGTGTACATAACACTTTCCTACTAGGTAACTTTTGTTTGCAATGCAATTTTCTATTGCTGTTACATTCCAAGTATTGTCATACCAGCATCCTTGTAAACTTATTTACTATGTAGTGTGTACCAATTTACTAAAGTAATTACTGTTTTACATCATTCTGGAATTTACTATTTACATTACAAGTGCCGTTTTAATATGTAAATGACGCCCGACCTAATAGTATGCGTATATGTATACTATTGACTGTAAACTTTATACTCCTAAGTTTGAAATAAATAATTGTGACTGTTTGTGATTTTTTCTCCACAAAAACGTCGTAATTTAATTTTGGCACCGTCGTGTATTGACGAAAATATAATAAAGTACACGTAATGGCACTCCGAATTACTATGACACAGAATCCGGACTCGGTTCTCAAATGAAAGTAGAATATACGTGTGCCGTGAGAAAGCCGTGATAATCTGATGATTTGACCTACCGCCTCTCACGTGGTTTCGTATCCGGGCTCGCGCCTCTGAATTTCTCGGTATTTATGTGCGAAATTTACTATGAGGTTTTTGGCGAAGGAAAACATCGTGATGAAACCAGCACGTCGAAGAAGGGTCACAACCCGGAAAACGTAAAGTTCCCAACCCGCATATGGCCAGCGTGGCGGACTAAGACCTAAAGCCCTCGCCTGTGAGGAGACCGGTGCCCAGCAATGCGACGTATAAATGGGTTAATGATACTTTTGTTTGGTTTACATCTGACTAGTTTGAGTAGTAGAGTGGTACTGCCCTCCTTAGCTATTGGAATCGTATTTGTATGACTTCTTACACAAGCATTGCAGTGAGCACTGAAAATCGTACTGAAGTCCTTGCCATTAGGGTCGTATTTCCAGTGCTTGAAATCATACTCAAATCCTGACTTGAGTAGAGTACTTGAGTAGAGTTCTGCAATATGATCCTAAGTGAAAAGCGCTTTTACAAGCACGCTTTTCAAACGTACATTATAACGTTAAAAAAATAAGCAGTGTTTTCCATTTCAACGGTTAACAACTACAAAAGTGAAACAACTTATGTTTTTAAACGCTAATGAACAAAATGTTGATATAATAATGTTATATCATAAATAAAAATATAACTCGTTTTTCACAAAAAAACTTATCTTAAAACCTTTACTTGCGTTTCGCTATCAACACAACGTTGCAAGCTTTTTTTAACATAAAAGTCTATGCGCTTAAACGTTTTCTAAACGGTTTTGTTAGCTCTAAATTAAAAAGCGTTTAAGTGAAAAAGCGTTTAAAAAAGCACGTTTTTTAAAAAAAGCATTACGTTTAAACGTTTAAAAAAATAGGCAGTTTTTCCCATCTCAAGATATTAGTACCAGAGTCGCTAGGATGCCCACGTGATGGCCGACTAATGTTGGAGCATTAAAAATAGCCCTTCAGAACCAAATCTTTGAGTCAAGTTTTTGATGAGTACTTAGTTTACTGTTTTCTTTTAATAAAATATTTTTTTCTTGAGAATCTTGGTTTCTGTATATGAGTAGGTATATGAAAAACTAAAGATGATACAAAAATCTGACGTCAGATCTGAAACCAGCGCCCCAAATATATAAATATACCTACAGATACTGATTAATTAGCTCTTTGGGGGAGGCCTATGTCCTGCAGTGGACTTCCGGCTGAAGTGATGATGATAAGTAAATGCCTAGTTCGTCCTGGGAAGGACTGCCACCTTACCTTTTTTTGCCGCCAAGCGGTAATGTGAGCATTACTGCGTTCCAATTTTAAAGGGACCCTTACCCTTGGTAAAATTACAGGCACATGGCAGTAGCAGTCCCCTCAGATCTATGCGATTTGAAGCTCTGAGTTGCACTGCAACTGTTTTGGATAGGCGTGTAGCTTATAATCAGACACATGATTTGTTCGTCCCTATAATAAATAACTTTTATTTGAGATAGTGGTTATGTTTTTCTGAAATGAAAATATTTGGTAATTTTTTTACTATAATAATAGAGGTGAAAATTATGATGGTGAAAATTCTCATCCGCAGAACAAAGATCTATGTGCAAGAGTTGTTCTCACGACATAGTACATTTCGTTCGTTCTTCTTCGCTGTGGATGTCAGATCGACCGTTGTTTGATTTCATATTTCCGAAATCAAATAAGATATATAAATTCTCAAAACACCTTTACGTAGGACATAGTTTGAGTAAGGAAGTTATTATCGTTTCGCTATATATTCACATCGGACTCTGTTCTTCGGATGAGTCGATTTATTTAGTAGTAATATTAATATTCTATAATCTGGGTACAATCAGACCTAAGCTAGGAGCTGTGGTTCTCGAGATTCAAAATGGTTCCGCTGGAATAAGCTTATTCCAGCGTGGACAGTAAAATGGTTGTTTTATTGTGCACGCTTATATCTTTTGAACGGTGGACCGACAAACTTTTTTTTTTGCAACTAGAACCGAGTAAATAGAGCCACTTTTTTCTGGCTAACAAAAACTCGATCTTGGTCACGCTCGAATAAAGCACGCCTATCCTATCCTACCTATCCTATCCTACTGCTTAGAATAATAACGCATCCTACTGTATGTCCGACTACCAGGTTGTCTCTTACATACATTATTTATTGTAATAAATATGTACTTAATTTTTTTTAAATTTAATTATGAAATTTACTATGGTTGCTTAGTTGAAGGATGACAAAAAATACTATGTCTCTTCTTTAGAATCTATTGTGCCTATTTGATCAATTGGATTGTTGACTCTACTTGCATGAATAGACTAGTGTTTAGTACAATAGTTCACATTTATTACCACTTAACACCTGTACACTTGCAGAGATGATGACAAGTTTACAAAGAGTGTGATTTATTCCTACTTAACATATTTTGTGTAAGTATTCAATTGATGTTCATTGTTTATATTAGTTTCAAGGTGTATTAGGCATTAAGATTTTGAAATCGTGGAAATGTGTAAGTAATTATGAGTGGTTGGTAGGTAGAATTAAAACTATAATATTAGGAGCAATGTAATATAATTTTTAATATATAATAGATAAAACAACACTTCCCATAATTAGTACAAAATAAAAGTAAATATAATGTTAGTTTTTACATAGGTAGGTAAAATTTATTTAAAGTACAGAACATATGAAGGACTACACACTGAATTGAGATAAAATACTTAGTAGGTACTGACTTTGAAAAATGATGTAAGCCACTTTTAATATTCACAATATGAACTTATTGCATCGATTAATGATTATTTGGCAGACCAAAAGAGATTTTCCAACAGTGCATAGGTCTTAAACCTAACTTTATCATATAATGTGAAACTTGGAATAGAAGCTGTAAGAAAATCTGCAATTAGACTAGCCGCTACACCTTATATACCGAAACATTAGGACTAAGAAACTTTTAATGTGATGTTCCAGCATACAAGTTCAGTTGCATGCAGGCAACATGGGGCCAGCATACACCCAAATATAAATAATTTTTTTAAGTAATAGTTCATAGATAGTAATTTTAATATATTTTGTACAATAAAATACAATTAAGTACAACTTGTAGCAAAGATATTAAAGAGAGTAATATTTATCTCGAGTGTTAAAGCTGCAATAACGTGTGTGTACGCACAAGGCATATTTACACAGCACACACGCACGGCAACAACACACCTGTGCTGCACACTACTATAGTACATAATTAATTTTATTACTTAATAGAATATAAAGACACGCCAAGCTGACACCTTCTTCAACTCCACTTACTTTACATATTTCAATGCATGATTAGCCAATGAACATGCCTGTACTTCACTAGCAGACTGCTATTAAATAATACATTGATCATCGCTTAATATCACAGCTAATTATGCTTTGAAAATTATAGACATGTCTAATTTTCACTAATGTAGATAACAATGTAGAGTATAAGTAGACAATCTGAATAAATTTACATTACAATATCATGTCTTTTCATATGAAAAATTTAAAATTACATTACCAAAAATTAAACAGTGCAGCGCATTATAAATAAATGTGCATACCTTAATATTTAATTGACTAAATAAATTTGTTGCCTGCAGATGTGACATATTTTAAATATCGAGAGGTAATATCTTAAGAGAAATTTTAATTTCAACTATGGAAAAAAAGTTAAATCCAAATTTCAAATATTTTGTATCTATATGACAATTCCCTTCAAATCCACCTAGTTATTATGAATGTGAAATATCAATCCAAAGCCGAGTCTCCTTCACACATATTTCACTACCACTGCAATTGTGGATTAAAAAGTAACCTGGATTGAAGAGAAGCAATTGCTAACACTTCACGAGTGTGCATTGCTGTTAACGTGTTGCTTCTTATCCTGGGCGTCAGGCGTGCGCTGCCCATCGCGCCGCGGCGGCATACGCTCGTTGATCGCATCCAGCCCTTTAGCCTCAGCAAATGAGGTTATCTTATGGTTGGGAGAAAATCCTTGCAGAGCATTCTTCAGTGAGGTTTTGCCACCGGAGAGAGCGCCAAGTGGCAGTGCTCCTGTCGGGGTCAACCCCTTCAGCTGCAAGACAGATTCACTTTCCTCACGAAGCACTGAGAATACATGAGCCATTTTGCCAATAGCTCGGATCTTGTTGCGAATTACTTCTTTCCTGAGATTAGCTTCCTCCAGTGCATCATCCCCTTCAGACATTAACTCATCATCAGAGCAAATGTTTAACACATTAACCAGCATCTCTGTAACCTTCTCACCAACAAATGGAAGAGACCAAGTGAAAACATCCATAAAATTGGGCAGCCAATACGGGTGTGGGGAGCAGTTGAACTGTCTGATGTTCATCACATTGTTTTCATACTTGAGGACAGCCGCTTTGTTATTGTACACATCCAAGTAGTTGGGGGCAGAAAAAATGGTGATGAGACTTGGAAAACCTGTGGTTTGGCTTTTGCGATACATTCTGTATCCAGCATCTTGAGCTTCATGTGCACGTATGATCGACAATAAATTGTTTCTTTGAAGGAAATCACAACAGGCAGCATAGCTATAGAAGTAAGAACAACCTCTGACAGAGTTGTGCGAAAAATGTTCAGCGTTTTTCTCATTACCAAAGTCCTCGAGAGGGTCCGACCAGAGCAGGTCACACATAGCGCCAAATGCGGGAGGTTCTTTGAATCTATCTAGTTTACGAATATCATCTAGGTTGTTGATTTCGGGTGACAGACCGCCATGCACACATAGGAACTGCTGGTTCATAAGAGCAGCAAGAGGTAAGCAGTCGAAGGCATCCATACATGCATCATACACTTTCTCAGAATATTTGATCTTGCACTCCTGTTTGAAGGTGAAGTATTCTGTCAAGTGTCGGCACTCGTGGTTGCCGCGTAATAAGAATAACGTCTTCGGGTAGCACAACTTCAGAGCCCAGAGGTAGAGAACACATTCTATACTGAAGTAACCTCTATCTACATAATCGCCTAGAAAGAGGTACTTCGTGCACGAAGGTGAACCTCCCACCTCGAACAGCTTCATCAAATCGTAGAATTGGCCATGGACGTCTCCGCACACGGTCACCGGTGAATCAATCTCGATCATAGTTTTTTCTGACCGTAAAAGGGTGGCACCATCTTGGATGATTCGTAAAGCCGCATTTTCTTCGATCCTACCCTCTAAGATAAAGTGTTGCTTCAGTACATCTGGCAGAGGCTTTCCAGTTTTTTCATCGAATACCTCGGAGACTGTGAGCTTGCGGCTGGGTGGGAAAGCAACACTTTGGATCATACGCTGCGTAGTCGACACTTTATCATTGCTCCCGGACATATTTTTCACATTCAAATTCCGGTCTAATCCATACAAGCCACTATTTTCAAAATGGCAGAAAAGATATAATACTAAAACAGAATCCCGATTTCAACTACTACTGCGCACTGTATAACAATGCGCAAACATCTGGCGAGTGGTCAATAAAATAAACAGGGATATCGAGCGCGTTTTATTACTTTTGAAAACGTCATTAAATAGTAACACTGACTGAGTCAGCCACTACAGCCTTAATATTCAAATAAAATAATTTAATTTTCTGATAGATTAACGAATGTAACAAAATAGTTTTATAATTTATATCTCTAATTAACCATTCTACGATTCTAACAAGTAATGAAAATTGGATACTGTGAAATTATGGAAGATCGAGACGGCAACACTTCAACGATCTATCTAAGCGCGGCAGCTTAGTTAAGTTTACTTCTTATTATAAAAAATGATAGAAATGTTAAATTTTGAAATAATAAAAAAGTAGATAATAAATTTCACCGAATTATACTATAATCAATCAAACATTATATTATAATTCTTTTCTTGAAAGAGTTATAGAACAAAATATACTTTGACATTCAAGTACAGTGGATCCGTGTAAAGTCGCCTTCAACAAGTAGTTAGTGAAGTCAAGTCGGTCTGTGGAGAGAGCGAAAAAGACAGATATATGAGATGTTTCCTTGTTTCGTGATTTCATCATCGTCAACCTTCGAGATTAATAATAATACCTAACGTGTATTTTATCCTCTAAATAACAATTCATAATCGGTTTATTTCAAATACCCACTGTCAATGTTTTTTGGCAATAATCAGGAACTCGTGGTGATTCAAATGTTCAACCCCACAAAAATGGAATATACGGGTACCCTCCGACGCTACATAGTCACCGTTCAACGACAAGAAAAAAAATATTTTAATTGATATTTAAGAAGTGATTTTATAGATCAATAAAATTATTGAGTATGTTGATATGTGACACTTGTATAATTTGAAATATTTTAATCCATAGCAAGACAACAAGACTTTTATTTAAAATTGGTTCGTTGCTGTTAGGATTGGTTAGTGGTGATTTAACGGCATTGTTTTTTATAAGTCAAAAGCACATTAAGCTTAATACTTTGGACTGTTCTTAGCATAATCGGTGTAGAGCTGAATTTAATTCATATGTGTGCAACATGATGGCTCTTTACCTTGTGGGTACTATTGTTATCGTAAGTGGCATATATTTGAATTTTAATTATAAACGTAAAGGACAGTATGCTAAGTTCTACCTATAGTGTAAAAGATAATAATATATAATTACATAATATTTTTTCTTAGCAGGAAATCGATGCTTATTACATATGCATGCTTATAAGATTTTTTGTTTAGAATCTTTTGAGGGTAGTTAGGCTTTTGTTTCGAAATATAAACCTAATAAATTCAGTAAATGTTGTGCCGTATAATATAACATCGTAATATAATAATTAACCTTACGTGGTGTTAGCATTTTACTATTAAATTTTCATTAAACCTAACATGAATAGCGTGGACTCAGGTTACAAACGTGCCAACGTTTTATGTATTCTGGCGAGTCAACAAAACTATATGCTAGCTTTATAACACCTAATTATTGAAGAAACCTCTAATTAGCTGAAGTAAGCGTTGAAATCATCACTGTAAATAGTCAATAATAGTACGATTCTTATCGTATGTTTATTCGGTGGATACCCCATGCGTTCTCGTACTCCCGAACGGGCGGTACCTCGCCATTATTTTTATCGCTACCTAGCGACTATTTTTAACTTTTTATTTCGGAGCAATAATTGCTTTGCACCTATTATTTTCGTAAATACCTATCTAGCTGGCTATTTTCATCATCCTACACGTTTCCATGCTAATACGCTATAATTAGATTGTGGCATACGATTTTCTACAGTGACGTTACAAGCATTGTGTCGGCGGATTTCTTAACATGTAGGTCGCCGTGGACGTGACCCACATTTGGCGTGTTTGCGAACACTGTTGTAAATGTGTTTTTTATGCAGTTCCAAACTCAATTCAACGTCTATTCTTTAAAAATATAAAGAAACCTAGTTTAATTAAAACAGAACAGGATGTTTGGATTAACGACACGTTAACGTTACAGATTCGATGTCATTGACCGAAATATCCACCCGCCGCCGTCGATCTTTTCGACCGAGTGAGGCGCAAGTCGAAATTAAATTTATTTTTCGTAAACGCTTAGCCACGGACACTGTATTATTGCAAGTGATCAACTACATATAATAGCCACGATTCCGACGCTTGTCTGGTCGTAGCTGGCGACGACGACGTCATAATATCTATCACATGATCTCAGCGAAATCTAAACGCGTTAGTACGGCACTACGGATAGATTGTGAAAAGTTCATTGTATGCTTTATGAAGTACCAACAGTCTGAGGGCCGTATTCTAGAACTCTACTCAATGCTCAAGTCAGAATTTGAGTATGGTTTAAAGCACTCGAAATCATACTCAAGTCCCTGCCATTAGGGTGGTATTTCCAGTACTTGTGTTTCCAGTGCAATCCTGATTTGAGCATTGAGTAGAGTTCTAGAATACGACCCTGAAATACTTTATTGAATATCACAAGGCGCACAGTAGACAAAGGGCGATCGCCATATTTTTTATATTTTTACTGACGAAATCCTAAAAGGGCCCCGACAATAAGTAAAAATAATCATAGAAAAAGTTTGTGGAATACCGAATTCAATAATTCTTTTGCCATCCTCTACGAAGACAAGTAGGTCAATGCATTCCTGACAAATTTTATTCTTTGAAATATCTTTAAATAAGTAGTAGATTGTTTCAGAGAAAAATAATTTTTAATTTTCATTATATGAAGAAATGTACATGCTTTTGTCGAAATGTTGGAGTGTTTGGCTTGGTTATAGTAGGGAAACTTCCTATCATAATGTACCAAAAAAATATTAGGGGTTAAAGCATGGTTAAAGTATGAAATTGCCGTTTTATTGCAATAGGTTCTTTGAATTTTCATAGAATCTTCATGGTTTGAGGTTTTCGAATGAAACTTTTTTCAAATGGTTTCTGTGATTTTTTTTTTTTAAATTTGAAACATTTGAATATCGACTTTCAATTGTTTTTGTTATTCAATTTAGACAAGAAAGATGGATACTGCGAAAATTCGAGTGATTTTTGAATACGAGTTCCGACGCGGAACTAACGCGGCAGAAACAGCCCGCAATATCAATGCTGCGTTTGGAGAGGGGTCTACTAATGAACGCACCGTGCGATTTTGGTTTAAACGCTTTCGTGATGGAAATTTCGACTTAAAGAACGAGTCACGAGGAAGACCGCCCACACAGGTGAATAACGATGAATTAATAGAGATAGTGGAAGCCGATCCTAGTCAAACTACCCAGGAATTAGCGGCATGGTTTAACGTTACCTTACCCACAATATTGACTCACTTGCGTCAAATCAATAAAATAAAAAAATACGAAAAATGGGTGCCTCATGATTTGACTGATCTGCAGAAAGAAACGCGTGTTGAAACTTGTGTTGCCTTGTTGAACCGGTACAGAAATGAAGGAATATTGGATCGAACATGTGATGAAAAGTGGATTCTTTATGATAACCGGAAAAGAAAAATGCAATGGCTGACCCCAGGTCAAATGCCACAACAGTGTCCTAAAGCAAAACTTACCAATAAAAAGGTAATGGTAACTGTTTGGTGGTCTCAGCATGGTGTTATTCACTATAGTTTTCTCCGATCTGGTCAAGCAATAACGGCAGATGTCTATTGTGCCGAACTCCGAACCATGTTGACAAAACTAGCAGTAAAACAGCCCCGACTCATGAATCGATCTTCACCATTATTGCTCCACGACAACGCGAGACCTCACACAGCACGAGAAACCATTTTGACCCTTCAGGAACTGCAGTTAGAAACCATTCGTCATCCTCCGTATTCACCAGACCTTGCTCCAACGGACTACCATTTTTTTTCGTGATTTGGACAATTATCTACGTGACAAGAAGTTTTCTTCCCAGGAGGCAGTACAAAATGCTTTCACACAGTTTGTGCAGTCTAGATCGTCGGAGTTCTATCGCAAAGGCATTAATAACCTTCCCATTAGATGGCAGCAATGTATAGATAATAATGGCAACTACACTCGAGAGCAATGAATCCGGGTCACTAAAAGAATCCGAAAAATCTCGGAAACTAAAAATGCTAGGTTCATGCAATAAATTGTATTTAATAGACAATTTAATACTCCTTAAATGAAGGTATTAAAACTTTTTAGTTATTGTAAAGTTATATCATAAAAAAATCAAATATGAAAAGGGAACACTTTCGAAGATGGAACTACGAAATTACAGCATTTGTTTTTGCTTTTGTTTGTAATCTGTCATTTATGTGGGTACATAAACCATGTTGATAGTGCTTAATATTCATTATTTAAGCTGAAATCATGTCGCTTACACTTGAAGAATGCACCAGAATACTTACATTGGTGGAAACTGACCGGAGTCAGCGCGATACAGCCAGGACTGTCGGTGTGTCGCTGTCAACAGTACAAAGAGTTCTCCGACGTTACGAAGAAACTGGTTCTAACCTACGCAGACCAGGAACGGGCAGAACTAGGTGTACCACAGCACGAGAAGACCGATACTTGGTGAACACCATGCTTCGAAATCGCTTTCTCACAGGAGCTGAATTCACAAATCAGTTTCGACGCCTCGGAGGAAGTAACCCAAGTGCATGGACAGTAAGACGTCGGCTTGCTGAATCTAACTTAAAACCCCTTAGACCTGCAAACGGCCCTAAACTGGAGCGTGGGCATCGTATTTCAAGACTAAGATATGCCCAGAACCACGTAAATTGGAGTATTGAAGATTGGTCGAAAGTTATGTTCTCCGAATCAAAATGTATGCTCTACAAGCACGATGGAAGACACAGAGTGTATAGAAGACCAGGGGAAAGATTCAAGCAAGCATGCATCGAAGAAAAAGTAGCCTACGGTGGTGGGTCTGTACTTGTGTGGGCCGGAATTTCTTCTGAAAGTCGCACAGAGCTGGTGATCATAGAAAACGGCTCTTTAACTAGCGAAAGATATGTAGATGAAATCCTCAATGAACACGTTGGTCCATTTATGGTCAATTTTGGTGAGGATGCTATATTTATGCATGACAATGCCCGACCTCATACAGGTAGGATTGTAAATGACTACCTTCAAGAGATGAACATTACTTGTATGGAGTGGCCAGCGCGCAGCCCGGATATCAACCCGATCGAGCATGCTTGGGACGAGCTAGGGAGATGCGTAAAACAACGAAACCCTCCCCCAATCACGCTTCGTGAGCTCAAAATTGCTCTCACAGAGGAATGGGAGAATATTCCCCAAAATCGTATAAGGAACTTGGTGTACAGCATGCCAAACCGCCTAAACGCAGTAATGGAAGCACGAGGAGGCAATACGAAGTATTAAAATTCAAGAAAATCGTAATAAAGTTCAAAAATTTCATGTTTCCTATTTTTGTTTTAAGGAGAGATCAGCAGTTTTTTTTCTTTATGTAATTTTGTGTAAATAAAATGTATGGTGACTCATATTTTTTTTACTTTCATTTAAGGAGTATTAAATTAACCTAGCATTCTTACTTTCCGAGATTTTTTGGATTCTTTAAGTGACCCGGATTCATTGCTCTCGAGTGTATTTTGATTAAATAAATTTGTTAAAAATTTAAAAAATAAACAATCGAGATTTTCAGTACAAATCGGCAATTTCATACTTTAACCGTTTAACCCCTATTATATCTGCAGGTACAGTCAGGAGCACATCAAGCTAACGCTTTGGACCGTTCTGTAAGCGGTATACTGTCAAACTTGACGTGCTCACCTTGCATTTGCAGATTTATGAGTACAGGCGGCAGTTCCTATTTTTAATGTATTTTTTAACAAAATGTACAAGCGCACACTTAATAATTATAACTTTTTTATAAAAAAAAACACACTTCAAAAGTTCGTCGAATTATATCTATTTGCCGTTTTATTGAAATCGGTTGCCGGATAGTGCGCGAAATCGGATTCACCCGTAGTTTGGCACGCTATGAGGTGGAATATTTTCTTCAAATTTAAATGGGACCAATACTGAGGTGCCCTCTTTCCAACAAAAAAAGCCGGTTCACAAATGGATAATCGCGTAACTTACCATTGACTTACAATTATATGGACGTCGGGTCCGCGCTAAAAAGTGTCCGCACTTGTAAGGCGCTAAAATCGTATACAGAGCGCGACACTCCGCTTTAGTCTTCATTTGTTCTACGGACAGCGCGATACTGCGATGACATAACAATTTAAATTTCGAATAGGTTGACTTGGGACATTTTTTTCGTGGTTTTTGTATTAGACCCGTCGTCCATTTATTTGTAAGTCAATGTAACTTACACATTTTTTTTGAAGTCTGTTAAAAATGTATTTTAGTAGAATTTAGACTGTTATAGCTATCGATATACTTATAACTATATCTCAAAATTTAAGAACACTATATTGTGGTAAAAAACCGCCATTTGGCGCTTCTTGTATACTGCAAGTACATACAACATTGCAGGTGCTTTATTTTTTCTGGTAGAACGATTAGAACTTTCCTGCAGCATTTAACAGTTTCCTACATTTCCAGGAAAAAAATAAAATAGAAATAAAAAAACCACAAAATAACAATCAATTGTTCAAGAAATTAAATGTTATCTAATATTTTATATTAAAAAAAATCGGTGTCGGTAGGTCAACGTGATTTCCGGGCGGCGTCGTGGTGTATGTTCACTGATCCCACGGCGCCGACTCAACCGGCGAGAGGGAAACCCGGGGGGGTTTTAGTGAGGTAGGCCTTCAAGTCTGGAGGGAGAGTCCCCACATAATATATTTTTCTGTATCTAATGGAGCAATAAACATTTTTGATGTAACTTCCCTTATGCCATTCTTCCATGAAGAGTGCGATATGGTTCTTTCTAAAAATTAGTTGGAAGATATTAATGGTTAAGTTTTGTACTTTGAGTAACAATTGTAGTTTTATGAAAAAATCTAAAGTAATATTTTTGTTTCTTTTTAACAACTTAATAACCCAAATCTGTGAATACTGGGAGAAAATAAAATTGTATTAAACATAATAATAAAACTGTATTTCTAGAAACATTTGCAGACAACAGCTGTTAATTAAACTAGGACTCTCCGTACTTTCTTAAGTAGAGGATATAATATGGTGTCAGTTCACAGTTACTGCAGAGTCTACAGTTTTGTACTTTGGCTTGCTGTGGGTGAACGGTAGATACCGGTACTTTATCATATGCTGAAATAAAAAAAAATATATTATTGATCTATGATTTTCATATTAGTTATCACATTAAGTTTATGAACATTTTTAAGCTGGTTCTAAAAATCTTAAAAAAGGAACTAGATTTTATGGTTTTTTGAAATCAATGTTCTTGATAAAATAATCAACAAATAATAACTGGCCTTCTAGTTTGAACTTTACAACACTATCATATTATTATTCTTTATCATGTTGTTTCCGGCTAATTGGTATAAAAAATTAAATTATAAAATTATATACAGAAATATAGTTGTAGTAAAGAACAATGATGAGATAACTGATTCATGGTTAATATCTATTCAAACACTATTTAACATTTCTTTTGAAAGGTTTATTTTTCATCTATTGAAATCAACTGTTTCATAAGCAGCCGATTTTATGGGATGAAAATACAGTTGCTGGTTTTTTTTAATTATTGGTTTTTACGGCTCTGGGTACGTTAACCATTTGAGCCAATCCTCAAAACGATCACAAATTATTAAAGAAAAACACACTTTATAAGAAAAACACTTTTCATTGCACTTGCACGTAAATAGTATGATTGCATGCAAGTTAACTTGACTATAATGCTCAAATAAAACCCTCGGACCTTTTTTCTTCTCATTACCAACCATGGCTGTATTAAGAAAAAAGTTCCGAGGGTGTTATTTTTGGGCATTATAGTCAAGTTTCCCTGTATGCAATTATACTATTTACATGCAAGTGTTTTCATTGCATGTTTCACTGGCGGTACGGGAATTACAAACCTCGACTCCAAAAGCCCTCAGTCTTCGACATTGCGCTTCTAATAGTCTCGTTCATAATTCCTTATTTACCGCCCTTGATACACAATGTACTATTAAATTTCGTTCACTGCATTAAATGTGATGTTTCATAGTGGTTTATAAAAGTTTTTCCTTGAGAGCAAAATTGACACATTTATTGTGTTTACAAAAAAGTCAAGGTTTGAAAGGAATCATTTTCCATTATACTATTAACTTGGGTACAAAGTTTATAAACATATGCACTAAATAATAGCAAAAAAATTCATAATAATGAAATTATCAGTAATTTAATAATAAGTCGAAAGTGGTAATAAATATGGTAATGTCCATATATGTGTCGCAGTGAAAGAAAAGATTACTATCTTTTCATAGATAAGAGCATTATTTATTATCTTTCGCTCAACATTCGAATGTGGCTTTTGTGAAATGACTGTTATTGTGCTTATTAACAGAAGATTAATACAAAAAATATATATTCACCAAAAGAAAAAAAAACGTAAAAATTTTGTTCAGTGTTCAGCTTTTGTAAAAACTATATCTTGTGCTGAGATATACGTGGGTTTCAATTCTATTTTTTAGATTTCAGGACTAAAACTCCTGGCATGATTTGCATTGTTGTGTGGGATTTACTAGATACATAAACTATATGGAGGTGCTAGATAGGCCTAATTTTGTTTGTGATAAGCTATCAAATCTTAATTGTAGTACAGAACATGAAAGCTCTTGTGCAAAAAAATGTTATCTGCATAGTGCCTAATAAAATAGTATGTACCACATACCTTGATTTGTCTCTTCATAGTAATACAAAACAGGGTTATAAAGTACATGACTAATATTGGCCAAAATACTGGAATATTGAAAGCTTCAATGAAAGTGCAAAAGAAGGCTATCACGGTACTCTTAGTGACCGAGAGCCAAAACTTGAATTCTGGTAGCCTTCGAATGAACGGTCTGAACTCCTCAGTGGCGCGGGTGGGGAGAGCTGGGCCATTGTCATCATCACCTGAAATTCAATTTTAAGAACTGCAGTTACAACAATTTTGAACAATCAGTAGACAGTATCTGATAAGTTCTAACTTTATAAAAAAAATTAATAATTGAATTTGAAATAAATACACATTAATTTTATTATTATAATACCTATTTCAAATTTGGAATGAATCATTTCTACACTGAATCACTTAGCCAAGAAATATTTGCAATGGTGTGAAGGCCCACTCATTTAATGCATTTAAATGAAAGTGACATATGTCCCTCCTTTCCTATGTCATATTTTCTTTGTACTATATCTAGCGAATAAATTTTTTCATATAACATCTTTCGCTTACCATCAAAATCCATAGCTGGATCAATTTTAGGTGTAAGGAATGCAATAAACAAATTCAAGTGGTATATGCCCAATGCATATGTGACTATGTACCAACCCTGAAACAGTAATATAAATTAATATGCAGTCTAAATAAATTTGTTATTTAGTTATAATAAATCTTTTTTAATAATCTTAAAATGTGTCAACTTCATTTAATTCACTTGTAAAGGAAGTCACTTAATTGACAGTAGTAAAAAAATGCCCCTTTGCAGGTTTTGGTCTCTTCTAGAGGAGAGTAGTGCCACCATAGAATTGGTGATATGAGATCAAGGATATGAAGAAATACCTACATAATAAGTTGATGCTACATAAGTAGACTGGAGCTTTTTCAGGCTGTATAATATGAATTGTATAAGTAACATTGAAGCATTGTAGAAGAATAAAATAAAACTTTACAAGATTGACGGCAATAAGTTTATTAAGGAGTCACGACATTACTAGAGACTATAAGTTAACTTGTTACATTAAATGAATATTGCTCAACTATCAGGGGTCAAAACAAAACTTAAAAAAAGAACCAAAATGAAGAAAATATTATAAATATTGCACCATTCTTATATTTCACTTGTATATAGAAGAGATGACTGCTAAAAGTGTTATTTCAGTATGCCAGTTTTGATGACAGATTACTTGGGATATTTTCTAGACTATACAAAGGGCTTTTTAGACTTACTTGTTTAGTAAATATTCGGATAATAAATATAACCACAAGCAGTGCACTGCCAACCCATCTGGACTTTGTGTGTGGTGTCCATCTGTCTAAGGTGCTCTGGTACAGCTGTGAAAGTAATATGGGTTAGTTAAGGTAATAACTAAGGATATTTCTTTTTATTTTGTTGTACTATATTATAAGAAAGCACTAGTAACCGCAAATTAAAAATAACTTTAAAAAATTATAAGTTCATTAATAGTTTACTAGTTTTGAGGAACTTTTACAACATAAAATGCGTTCATTTAGTTCGATATTCACTTTACCAACAAATTGTATGAATCGAGTGACACGATTGCCCATGATTAATAAACTGAACAAACCAGTCATGGTCTACAACCCAAAAACACTAGACGTTAACCATGATAGTTCATGTACCGCTTCTAGAAAGTCTATTTAACAGTATTACCTGAGAAATTCGAGTCCAGGCTTGCGAAAATATGTTCTTTCTGCTTGTTTCAGCCGATAAATCATTTCCGTCCATCATTTTGAATTGCTTTTGGTTATCCTAAATCTAGCATATCACTGATTAAATGAATATGTTCAGAGGGTACGACTGTTAAATATAGTTCATAAATAATAGTGAATATTTTATTATTTGATTATTTTTACATTTAAAAATTAAATTCACTGTGATGATACCCACGGCCAACAAAACGTTCATCCATTGCCGCAAGTAGGTTTTCTTTTTTTTAAATTAAATTGGTAACCAATGGAACAGCGGGTTTTATAACTATTTAAGGTTTTGATTGGTCAAATTATGACAGGTGTTATTTTATCCAATCCTAGAACTGCTTACAATTTTCACTGATATTTGACGTGCCTGAAGTGACGTGTAAATAGAGCTACCAACCTAAGATGCGTATATTTAAGATGCGTTCAAATATTATCAAAAATTGAATATATTTATTTACCGTGTGCAGGGAAACGACGGACTAGCGGGTAAAACATTAATAAGGTCATTATCACATTACACTGTTGCTTTATTCCACGACGATGGTTTACTAGAATCTCGCAGTATATACGGTACAATAGGAAACAGAATGGGAGTAACGGCAACCGGACACAGGCGCCGCGCCGCCGCCGGTTGCTACTTCTGAACACTGACACCCACAGAACAATAATAAATACAGTAGAAGTGGTTAGTTAGCAGCGTCTGACGCGAGTCAAGTATAGGTCGCGAAAGACCTATCTGAGTTCAGTCCGCCATTTTCGCTTTGTATGATATCGTTGTCATTTTTTCTTGCAAATTCTCTAAAATCCTAGAAAAATGCATTATTACGCTGTTTTGGAGTGCAAAAATGATAGCAGCACTAAAAATATTACCCGTTGTGGTATTTCATATCATCAGAAAGTCTTGTTTTAATAAATTTTCAATTTTCTGTTTATCGAAATTTTTTTTTTGTTACAAGTTTCTTGTAGAAACGAAAGTAAACCTTATGCTCTTGCAATATGGTCGCTTCTTTTTTGGAGAAATAAATTAATAACTCCAATTCGTCGTCGTTCAGCAATTAACCGCTAGATGACAGCATATTGATTAAAATTTCAATATATCAAAACTACGACCAATTAATATCAAGATTTTGTAGTGTAGCTTTTTGAAAAGAATGTGGAGTTTTGGCGACATCGATCGGCTGACCGGCAAAATAAACGATAATGTACTGTTTAAGAAATTTAATGAAATTATTGTTCTAATTACATTTTATACATTGTTATTTTACACTTTGTAAAGATAATTTGCTCCTAAGTAAAATCTAAGAGACTACCAAATAAATAACATAAAATTACGCTACAGGTAGGCTCTATACTATTAGCTACTCCTATTATTGCAGTTTATTTACAACACGTTATGTATTTGATAATAATATACAATAAAACGTATGTATTTTGTTTCTTAAAATATCATCGCTTTGAATACATATAAAGAAAATTTTGGTCCAGCTAAATCCTATTCTAACACAACTAGGGAAATAATGTAGATTATTGCTATTTTCATCATCAGTTTGACATTCACAGTGAATAACACTATATGGTGTAAAATGCTCGTAGTATCTCTTACGAAATGTCGATATAAATGTAATGTTTACCAATGTATTACTTTATAAGCATAATTAATTACAATTAACTCTCACTTATTACACAGTAACTGCTACTCCGTACTCTCAATACTAAACTCATGGCAAGCGTTACGACGATGTCGCGTACTCCGCGAAAATAAAGAGGTCCATAATTATAGTAAATGCTAGAATTAAACGATGATTTAAATCAACAAAATACTGATTAAAATGTACTAAGTAACAATTGTATTCAATAAATGCACAATCATGCAATAATTTCGAGCTAATCACTTACATTCTAGCTATACATTCCATTTTGAATAATAGTTTTAAGGCGAAGTATTGTTTCATGGAAATTATATTATTAACAGCCGATAAATACAACGTAATATACACCACTCAAAAGAAAATAAGAGCCGTTTTTTGCAAAAAAATATTAATTAAGGTTTATTATACATATTTGGGGAAGACTGGAATTAGACACATTACTCACTCTTATGTATCTTTAGCATCTTGGCAGTTGTGAAAATACTTAAATCTATCCACTGATTTACAATAAAAAAATATCAACCAAACATTTTCCTTTAAAGGCACAAGCTTTCTTTTGAGTAGTATTTGTGTACTCATTTATAAGACCAATAAATGTTATCCTCAAAACCGCATGGGTTATATTGGACATGAGATTTTAAATACACGACACCCATACATGGCATCTTTCTCAATATTTACTTACTAGTTTAATACTATAAAATTATTCATAATATATTGATGGAAATTCAATAACCGAACAACTCTTCAGTCGAAACTAAGGAACTAAGAGATATTTGCTCAAAATTTATATACCATAGCCTCAGATTGTTGAGAATATATAAATCACCAAGTTATACTATTGCTAGGCGTCAGAGATGGGAATATCATAGTTATAAGGGGTTCTACACAAAAATAGGTTAGGTTATACAATGATGTGTCTGCCTCATAAAGTCCCTACTTATTTGATCTTATGGACACTATATGTGCCAGACCATCTTTTTGATTTGAGATCCCTTTCAAAAAATTATAAAATAATTGTATATCAGACCTAGAGCAATGTACTTCTATTAGAAAACTTCATATGGGTTATTACATGTGATATGTACAACTGCGTACTTATTTTACAGCAGAGAAGCTTTGGATTTGGTTGCTGTTGTTGGAAGCCACCCATGAGCTGAAGACATCTCTGAAACACAAAATTAACAGGTTAAATCAATGTTAAAACTTGCTAAACTTTTGTTGCATTTTTTTAATAGCCTGTGGGTAAAAATTATAATTTATTTAATACACAATTAATCACACAGCAAATAAATACTAGTAATAGACTGGTTAGTGGGCGGGGCGCGCGTTACCTAGCTTAAGAGCAGACGCTCCCAAGAGTGTCAATAGCGCGTCAGTTGTCGTTCGAATGTACAAGATTGTTTTGTAAAAAAAAATTGAAATATGTCAACCATTATATCATGTCCCGTAAGAAGGTCATGTTTACAAAATACTCTGGGAGTGATTTCCTTTCATGACTAAGTACTGAAACTCTGTATTTCGTAATATTTTGAATACAATATTAATATTTCGAAACAAGAATATGTTGTGGCAACCCGGTTTTAACAATATACATTGGTTGCTAGCCATCGCCGCCCGTCAAAAGAACAATTCGAATGACGCTCAATGAATTGCTTGCACTAGCGACATACTCCACTTGGAACTGGGTCCGCGTGTTGTAATCAAATTATCGATAAGTAGTAACTCTGTATTTAAAAACCCGGTTCAGGTTTAGTTACAATGTTTTTTTTTATTATAGCGGTACCAATGTGTAAACATAAATTGTTTACAGGTATCTAAAAGCCAACAATTTTGATTACTTAAATGTTTTGGTCTCGACGCTCACAATAGCGCGGGTATTAACTATAGTTAGTAAAAATTTATTTAAATTTTATTTTTTTAATTTCAGTAAAAACGGCATATTAATAGAAAAAAGGCAGAAAAAAACATAGATAGGAGACGTACAGTATCGATAACTTTACCATGCACGTAAGTACGTGGAGTATCAAATGAAGACTTTATGAAGATGGAGATTTTCTTTCATTCGTCTACATGATTCCTATCTCCCTATTTGCTTATTATGCGTCACCTTCATCCGCTTGAGTTCTTAGTTTATCACAGGTATGATTTGTTGAGGTACGAACCTTATACGACAAACGCATAGTTTCTTACTGGCTGTATAGTTCTTAGATTCAAATTCCTACTGACAATGAAGTTCACTCTCATGACACCTCATTCTTGTTTAGTATCTTGTGTTCTATGTTTATCTCATTTAATATAAAAGTTATTATTTGTGCTCTCTTTGTTTATTTGTGTACAATCTACGCCATCGCTGCTGCGCTTCTTGGGTTCTACCTCAAGATGATTCATATTTGCAATTTTTGTATTGATTTTTTTTTAGTTTCCCGCCGTATCCTTTTTAAAGGAGAAATGGGCTGAAGCAACAGGCAGAAAAAGCTGGGTACCTACTAAATGCAGCGCCATTTGCAATAGGCACTTATGACATCAGATTATATACCTATGAAAAACAACATAAAAATTCTAAACGTAGGTATTTCTCACGCAAGAAATAAATAATTTGGTTAATCGGGTAATTTATGACATGAAACTCAGAATTGCCTTCGCAATTTATAGACCACATCAGAATACGAAATTAATTTCTGAAGCATTGTCATTTATTTTTCGTCAAGTTTTCTTAAAACAAATGATTCGTCTTCGGAAATAAGTATCTTCATTTTCTTGACAAGTTCGTCGACGCTGTATGTGTTGTTATGTTCAGTCAGTTTAGAAAGAGGTAATTGTGGAATAAATATTTCAAGGAGAATAAATATTTTTATGATGACTGCTTTAATATTCAACCCGTCCAGTGATTGGATAGACTTGAAATCTAGTATGGTACTTAAAGTACGATGACAGTACAATATATCATTAATGCAGTGATTGTAGTGTGTAGTTACGTATACAGACACGCCTGCGTAGTTAATATCAATATTTGTATGTAGTAACACCGTATGCGTATTTGGTGACAAATGTGTGCGCGTAAAAGTCAGCTACCCTGGTCCTCCAGGAAATTGCATTAAATGCCGTTTCCATATACTCCGTGGTTAACCTTAATTATAGCAAGTATAAAGCAATGCCTAGTTCAATATTCCGCTGGTTATGAAACATAATGTCGATATCATTCTATCAGTAGATTGTCAACTTTTTGCTTTTGTTCTAAGGCGTTGATGGTCACAGGATTCTTAGTTTTGAAACGTGTGCATATGGCGACACCGGTTTTCATACTAATGCATGCCTTTCATGCTTGACGCCATTTCCATTCTTCTTTTTATATATAAATAATTTTATATAAATTCTATTAATTTTCATATTGTATTTTTAAATATTTTTGCCAAAAACAAGTTTATTTTAAAGATTACTAAATTTTCATGTCTTAATTTACATCACGTGATTTAATAAATTAAGGAACGAAATTGTGAATTCATGGAATCCAAGAAATATACCTGCAATGGCTGACGACACACTCATTGGAACAATATTCGTCCTCCCATTCACTGTTAGCTATGGCGGGGTTGGTGCAGCCTTGGCGGATGCACGACGGCGTGCTGCGGTTCTCGTTTTGCTGTAAAACAAACCTGTTTCACTTCCCCTACTGACCTTGAGACTTGAAAACCATCCTAACAAAGGATGAAAGGGCTTGTGTATTGCACTTTAGAAGAATTTATTTTTATCACAAGACCTCAGAATACTTTTATTATTAAATTGTGCAGTGGGTTGTTTCATTGTTATACAAATTGTCCATTACAGTAAATTTCGAAACAGTTTGCACACAGAGTATTATTCAAGGATCATTTTTATTTGTTGTATGCAAAGTTCGAGAAATAGACAGTATCTGTTAGATTGATATTTTAATAAAATATTTTTTTTTGTAAGTTTTAAGCTATACCCAATTAGAACGTAACTTACATCTGGTGACTTCTGTGGCATGCCCGCATTTCCATTGCTGTTAGGTGAATGAGACTCAGCTTTGATAAGTTGATTTTGCTGCGGTTGGGTTTGTTGTGGTGGGGGCTGCTGTGGAGGAGGTTGCTGTTGGTTTTGATGCTGCTGTTGCTGGTTTTGTTGGTGCTGTTGTGGTTGAGGATGTTGCTGCATTTGCTGCTGGGGGTGTGGCTGCTGCGCATGGTTCTGTTGCGCATGCTGCTGTGCATGTTGCTGTGGCATCTGTTGTTGAGTGTGTTGTGACTGCTGCATCTGCTGCTGCTGCTGGTATTGCTGTACTTGATGTGCTTGCTGCATTTGTTGGTGCGTTTGTTGCATTTGCTGGTAACAAAACATTTCGGTATTTGTAATGTTCAAGTATGTGCACCATTATTATTAAAACCAAATTCAATTTTATATGCAAAGTAAGAATTAATTTTAAGTACAGGTAAAAAAACATCAGTTATTAATTTCTTATAAAAATAGTCTTCAAATCATTAAAATTTAAGAAAGTTCTAGTACAGTCCAGTCATCTTCAATAAAAGTGAAATTAAGAATGTAAACATTTACAAATGCACACCTGTTGATGATACTGCATAGCATGAACAGCACCCATAGGAGGTGACTGTGACTGGACCTGCCTGTATCCAGGAGGTGACAATCCAGAGTTAGGGGGGTAGCTGGTGGGAGATTGTTCTGGTTCATAGCCTATTGGAGAGTGTGCTAGATTAGGCTGGCAGTTCTGTGGTGAAGTTGTTGGGTTCACTTGGTAGCCTTGAGGGGATTGGCTTGGTATGTGCTGACCCTGCTGAAAAGAAAATTTGTTTTCATAGGAAGGAACAATATTTTTTCTTACTATACTGTACACAACAGCTTGTGATGTTAAAATAATTGTTAGTCATTACAATCAGAGATGGGCAGCAATTTAAAACTCAATTAAAAAAAAACTTGCCCAGATTTCAGTTTTAAACTATTTCTGCCAAAAATCGTGGGTGATAACGGCTAATACGGAATTTAGCATAATGCCATGTTTATTACAAGTTACCACGTGAACAAAGCCTTTTTTAAACGAAAAAGAGGCAACTCCATATAATACCCAACTTGCAGCCCCATGGAGTCTCACTCTCTACTAGTAGTAATCGTAATGTGTATCCCTAAGGATGCACATAATGATTTTATTTTTATGAAAATTGATTCAAGTGTATACAACATGTTTGGTATAGATTAATTTAAAAAAAAACTGAATAGAAATATGTAAGCAAGCAATAAAAATTTTGTAATAATAATCATTACATTTGAAAAAAAAAAAACTCTTTACAAATATTTAGTTGTAAAGGTTTTTTTAAAGTTAAAGTTAACCCGATTAAAACCAGGCGTTAATATAGCATCGGGTTAAAAGTAGGGCACTTGCCCATCTTTGAATATAGCAAATAACTGTGTAAAATAACAATCTATAAGTGTATTATAAAGTATTTGCACCAACCTGATATTGCTGTGGATTATGGGGCATAGTGCCCTGATAGCCCTGAGGAGATTGCTGAGGGTTTGGTGGGTACCCATGAGGTGCTTGTCTGGGGTATGTACCCTGTGGCTGTCCTCCAGGGTAGTTCTGTGGTGTGTACCCTTGTGGAGCAGTGTTAGGACCGTACCCTTGAGGTGAATGACCATTTCCGTATGTCTGTCCTTGGTAGTAATTCCCATACGCCGGATTCGTGTTATTAGTGTGATTATACATTGTTGGACTCTCTTGCTCGCCGCCCTGGAACAAAATTATATATTGTAAACACAACTGCTTCTCTCACAGCATGGAGAAATCTTGATTTAGACATATAAACACTTGTACCTTGTCTATAAATAAAGCATAAGAAGCTTTTAGGTTAGGAAGCTTTTAGATATGCTTCCGTTAAAGCTCGCAAGTTCTAAACTGCAAATAACTAAACTTTATACATCGGTATATTGAGGACGAACGCTTCAGAAGAAATAATTACATACAATTTGTTTAACTTTACGAATTATACTAGAAAATGAGCACAGACAAAACAAACGGGACAAAGCGTGAACTTTTATATGTCAGTCCAATCAATAAGCTTCGCTGCAGCGCCCTCTGTTTTGTACTAACAAGAGCGTCTTTAGTTTCTGTAATATGAATTCTTGCTGCTAGATGTCGCTGATTTAAAAAGTTTTGATATAATCCTACGTTTGTAGGAGATGAATATTAATGGTTTTCTAAATTAGCTCAATGTTTATGATATAGAAATTGGGCTCTTTACATGGATTTATTATTGTATTTTTTTTTACGACGATTGAAGTAGAGAACCTGCGTTCAGTCTAGTCGGTCCAGTTAAAGTAGGGTTAAAGGACGCATTCGAAACATCTGGATTTTTTTAACCAAATGACGAGACAAACAAATAATTTCCTTGTCTTATTAATTCTTATTGATATTAGTCTTATGCTGATGAAGACGCAGAAATCCGCAGTAAATGCCAAAAATAATTTTCACACAAAAAACAGTGATGCCTCCGATAATGTTGACTAAAAGCATACCAAACTTGACACATTTGCTTTTGGGCCGTTCCTATTGCAAGCAATAGAGTTGAATTTAAATCTTAAGTGTCGAGCTTGACAAGCTCCTGTACTATTTGTTGTCTACTGAGACTACACACGGCCTAAACCCTCGCCTGAGAGGAGACCCGTGTCCAGCAGTGGGACGTATAAATGGGTTGATGATGATGATGAGTTTAAATTTTAATGTCGTTAATGATCGATATCGGATCGGAAAGTTTTCACAGTGTATAAAAAAAGGTAAAGGTAGCTAACGTATCCTGGAGTGTAGATGATGATGTATGTACTACTTTCTTTCATCTTATTTTTTTCTCCAAAGTAAACACCAAAAATAAAATTCATACAAATATAGTAATGGCATCAGTATTATCATGGTATCAGGGAAACCTATATAATAATACAATTTGTATTCTTCAGATTCATACCCATTGTCATGTTTGTCAGGGCTAGTTTCCTTTTAAGTTTCCCCAAAATTTGTCGTTTTCAGGTGATAAAACCTCGATAGTTGACTGTTCATTAATTGTTATATAAAAAACTTCAACTATTTTGCAATGGCTATATAATAAATAGCTGATACTGTAGATTTGGGACTATTGTGATGTTATTTAAAATATGTTAAAATTCTTGCAGCCAGCCTACTATCAAGGTTATTTTTCCTACAATATCTATTTTGTATTTAGATACATAATTGATTGATTACCTTTGAAACGAGGCTAGCTCTATAAGCAGCAAGTGCTTTAAGATATTCTTTTTTCGCCACTTCCGTTTTTTGTTTGTACACCTGTGAGAAATACAAAGTATAAAAAATATGTATAAAAAATTATGAGCCATATATTTTTATTGTACAGGTACACTTGTAATAAGATCTTCGTCGTGCTTAGAGGTAACTCACGCTTTTATGTTCTGAATCTAGTCCATCCCACATTGATGCGACAATTTTGGAAACTTCGCCGAAACTCGCGTTCGGATTTTGACCTTTAATAGCCGCTTGCGTGTCTCGAAAGAATAAGGCATATGCTGAGACAGGCCTGCAAATAAAATCATACTATTTTAGATATTCTCTTGCAATCTAATATAGAATGGACCACAGTATCACTGTGCCAGTATGATTGTTGTTTTGTTTTGTTCCATTACAAGTCGTGTTACTGGAAATTTTGCTTACTTCTGTGGTTCATTAGGGTCTCTTTTCTTCTTTTTCTTTTGAACTTTAGGTTTTTTCTGCATTTGTCCACGATTTATTCCGTTATCTATCGGTTCAGGCGAGGACCTTTTTACGCCCATATTGGCTACGCCAATCTAGAAAAAGACAAATAATTAAACTCGAAAGCCAATAGGAATGCAATTCAAAATATAGTTCATTGGCAAATCTACAAGAGTACATATTTCTATAAATATGTGTATAAAGTGATAAAATTTGCCTATACCTGATGAAGCGTAGTTTGTTGCTGCCGGCTCGCCGAGCAATAATGGATAGGCAGAAGGCTTTCCGCGTCACCAGGCAACTACCAACAAACAACCAATTCATTAGATTTTGCTATGTTACGTGATTCGAACTAAATGTTTCCATAAATACTAAAAAAGTAATAATGCCAATGAACTATATTCAGGTAGCTGAATGTATGACGATGAATTGATGAGACAGAAAGAGTGGGTGTTAATTCTGAAGGGCATCTCAGTGTATCCTCCAGGTAATTTTTACGCAGTTGAAAATTGTCAGGACTGTTTCTTTTTGAACAAAAAACTTTCCAAAAAAATTGCAGAGGAACAAAAATGATGTTTATGTCCTTTTTTTTCATGGTCTTGAGTATTGCTAGACATTTGCTTGTGTAATTCCAGGGAGCTTTCATTTCTATCAGGTCAAAACAATCAGTATACAAGTAGACTGACCTGATCTTTGATTTTAAGACATCCTCTGCAATAAGTGAATCTTAAAATGTTTCCAATGCTTTAAGCTCCTTGAAATACTGAACATTAAACGTAACAATTGAAGGGGCAAAATACATTTCTCATAGTATTAAAATGAGAAGCAAAGTTTACAAGGAAGTCAAGGCCACTATTAAGCACATTAGTGAATGGTGTTCTCAGCTATGTATCAGCTTGTTCCCACAATTTCAAGTAGCTTTGCAAGTGTAGTAAAACAGGAAGTGATTATTATATTCTCAACTATGAGAACATTTACACAGCTCAATTAGATAGGTGTGGTAAGTGAAAATTATGTAAGTTTCTAGAAGACAGGTTTCAATGAATTTATAATTAAGATTTATGAATGATTTTAATTTGAGATCAAAAGAATACAATATTCATAAATAATTTAGGAAATGATGAATAAGTAAGTGTAATGTAACATCTGAGAACATAGAATAAGTATGTTAAGTTGGCACTACGTACTTATGTTTAACTTTATAGCAAGCAACATAAAAAAAACAATCATCACCATAGAGTGAGTACCTCATATGTGACTTGAATGAAATTTTTGACGAAAAACCATGTGGTGTAAAATTGTATTACCACATTTTCTTTGCAATAGCGTTTTAATTATATTTTAGTAGTTATTAATAAATTAATACAAGTGCTTTGGGACTTTAAAAAAATGAACAAAAAATAAGTAATAATGCATCACTGAAGTTTTCACTCTACAGTATTGAAAGAAAGTGTTTCTATCCCTTATATTAAAGCAGTCATTTAAATAGGGGCTATCATTATACTTAGTATACTTAATAAAGTTATTGGTACTTGTACTCCATATATTCAAAGGTCATTATAGCTTTAGATGACTTTTTCCACTAAATATAATAAAAGCAGTTACTTTTTATTTATTTGTTTGAAGGTTATAAACGCTGACAAGTTACTTTTTAACCCTCTAATAGTGGCACTGTATGCCTTTTGGAAATTATTTTTTGTTATTCCAAAGTATAGTAATGGTTAAAATTCTCACTTGTCAGCCTTTACCGCTCACCTGGCTGGTATATAATGATAGCCTCATTTCAATTTTAATTACTATAAATTTAATAAAAAATTATATACCTGTGATTGATGTGAAGGTACACTATCATCTGAATCATCACTTGTTGTTCCAGGTGGTGATGCTCTTTGTGGTGAGCCATACACAGGTCCTGAGGGCTGAGTGGGGGTGTTAGGAGTTGGGGGCCCACTCATGACCTGTTGTGCTGGCTGCATCATCAGTAGCCGCTGCTGGCCTCCTGGCTGCTGCTGTATCATGTAATTACCAGCCGGTGCTCCTGCACCACTGGAAGTATAAGTTTATTAATACCTCTGCCAAGTGTAAAAGTACATAAAAAGGCTGTGAATTGGTGCTAAAAAGCTACCTATTTAATAGGACTTTGGATATAGTGTTTTATAACAGGGATATTATGCGGAAATCCTAAACTATAGCAGTCACAGAGAAAAAGACTTAGATATCATAAGGTTTTTAAATGTAACACTTTTTCTTTTTTTTCTTTTCTTAGAAAATATACTTACCAAAAGGTAAGTATATTTTCTAAGAAAAGAAAAAGGAAGAAACATGATGTTTGACTCCATTTCATGTAAGTATGGTTTCGTGATATTGAGAAAAAAAACTAAATTTCAACTGCAGTTGGTAAAATTTAATAAAAACAATTTCATACAATTGCTGCCTTCATTTTTAAATAATTTATTCCAATGTATAAAATGGTTTACATTTATGTAGCTGTATGCAGGTGTTTCAAAAAGCACTGGTAGTTTTTGGCAAAGACACTAGGTGAATGTTGTTCAAATGACAATAAATAAATGGCACCTTTTAATTTATGTAACACTGTGATTTGAAAACTTATCCAAATAATATTGGCCAATGACATGATGAGTTTATGTTGATACTTTATATTTGAAATTTAAAGTAAATTTAAAAAATAAACAACTAACACATTACAGAAACCAATCTTAATAGTAACGGCACATGACATTATGTTGTACAAATTTACTATGAGCTTCGCATTGAAAGAGAACATTGTGATGACACTTGCATGTTGCAGAAGGTTCACAACTCTCGGAAAACAACCCGCAATGAGGAGAGCCATGCTCAGGAGTGGGACATGTGAAGGTAATTCTTACAAAATCTCGAAATTCTTGTCTTTTAGATTTATAAAAAAAAGTATTTAATTCTTGCCATAAAATTAATATTTAATATCAAATTATAGTCAATTGCTATTAATGCCTACATAAAATATTGGTTAGTCTATTTAAATAAAAATAATACTAATATAAAAATGTCCCCAAAATCATTCCCTCACTACGGCCCAAGTTCTATAATCAAACATTTTCTGTGCTTTAAATCAACACATTTAACAAAAATAACCTTTAAATTTTAAACATTCAATCAAATAAAATATGCTTTTGCAATATTAAAGCTATCCTGTGGTAAAAATACGATAAATAAATTTAAAAAATGTATTATTTATTATTATGTCCCAACCAAAAAAATCATTCTCTCACACTTTTACCTTCACTCGATTTGTGAATGCATTTTTCATCTTTGGTAAAGGCATTTTGTATGTTTTTAAAAGTCAGCAGCACTGTAAACGTTTCAAAATGAAGAAATTCAACTTGTGTGTGTGTACTTGGTACTTGGTGTAACGGGCTGGTGTCCGCAACTCGACGTCAAGGCGCCTATTTTGCGTGTACTTGTGTGTGTAAAAAGTTTCTACTACGAAAAGATTTAATTCAAAATTCTAAAAGTTACATTTTTGACAGTCATTCTCTCACATCATATAAAAAGAAGCTTAGCATTTGATTTTATTTATTAATTATTCACTCATATAAACTTACTTTAAGACTTAATATTTTGTGTAACAGGTTATTTTGATTTTGTCATTCCCTCACCCACAAATGTTCCAACTGCCCTGTACATTTTCTCAAAAGTCATTTATTTTGAGGAATACTATATCATCAAAAACTATTTACATAAGTATTAAGAAATGGACAAAAAATAAATACAAATTCTTCCTAAAAATTTTCATAAATATTCGAAGCACGAATTTCGAAATTTCATGAGAGCTGCCCATAAAAGTGTTGATGTTGATTTGGTCTTGATGTGGGTGTCACAAAGGAATAAATGAATTTGATATTTAAAGTAATTACAAAAATAAAAACTAACACACCACACATCTCGATATAAATGTGTTTTGTAATCTGTACCTGGGTAATTTTCAAGTTAGTTTTCTCCATCTAATTTTGGTGTCAATTCTTATTATTTAAATATTGTAGAATATTATCATGATGAATAATATTAATTAGTACATATTTCACGATAATATACTTGAATACTTAAATAATTAAAAATTGCCACCTTAATTAGGTAGAGAAAACTAACCTGAAAATTACTCGCCTACAGAGTTGCTTGATACAATAAATTCAAAACAACGATTACATTACAATACCTTATAGTTGAATGCTATCATGTGAACAAGTTTTTGTTAAATTTCACCAAGTTTTTTGAAACTGAGTTATTCACATTTGTTTTATCGTCTGTCAATGACTCTCACAAAAATATTATACCATATTGCTTGTAGGTCTACTGATATTAAGGGTGTGTGCTATATTCTTAGTTTAACAGGAAAATTTCAGGGAAAGTCCGCAATTGTAATTTTGGAGCACTGAAATGTGGTTTTACAATTTAAACAAACATTCCAATGCTTTTGGACTGACAAGGAATAGGTTTATTTTATTTAAAAAAAGACAAACCCGTGAGATGTGACTGGCGTGTGAGGTTCTTGTAAATAAAGAGGTTGTTGATATGATGGTGCTCCGCCGGGAGGCGCAAGGCCGTCTTGCGCTGGATTCATCATGCCCACCTGAAAAAAATTCTAGATTAGCACCAACGAACATCAAAATCACATATTTTATGAAAACAAAACGCCACGAAACATAATTACAACCTCCTGTTATCAAAACTTCTGACACCGCTTCATTGTTACATGTGGTATGAGCTATAATTAAGTAAATAAGATAATACACTTAAAAAGATAACAGTCAACCAATAATTGAAATAATAAAAAACGAGAAAACTAAATTATTAACAAAACCCAAAATCGCGTTCTGACTAGGTTAGATCGATTTGACATTTACGATGTGTTTGACAACTAAGGTAATTTGTGTATATTCAATTTATTCGAGCAACTTGCAGTAACTAAACGCTTGACTGTCGTCTCTTCATCGTGCTGTTTCGTATTGAACCGTTGAAAATGAAATAGATAGATATTCTTACTTTTGGCGGTCGGTCATACATAAACAAGGAAGTTGAGAGTAGGTACTATTTTTCTAATATAAGCTTCTAAAATTGGTTACTCTGATTAATTTAAGTGCGGGAATACACGTCCGATTTTTCCTTCGTAGTCTGATCAGACTCAACTTCGTTCGTCAAGAGGATGTCAAGCTTGACACTTTGTACTTTGGACCGTTCTTAACATAAGCGGTATAGAGTTGGATTTAAATTATAAGTGTCAAGCTTGATGTGATCCTGACCCTGTACCATATATTGGTTTGAATACTCAATACACGTCCGAGTCCGAGTCGGAAGTAGAGTCTGATTTTATTGCCGATCCGATCGTCTGAAGGCGCTCTCTCTATACTTTTGCGGGGAGACGAAATACACGTCCAATTATTTTTTCCGATGTGCAGCGTTGCCGATGCTAATTCTTATTCAAAATCCCCAAAAATTAAAATAAAAAATTTGAGCAAAGTTCATATTATTCATCATCATCATGTAATAGTATCAATTTATATTCTCAGTATTTTTTATGTTATTATTTTTACCCTTAAAAATATATCAAATAATTTACGTTAACGTTACGCTTTAATTAGAAATAATCTCAACAAGTTGAATTAAATTTAGACCTTAATATTTAAGCTTGAGGAGTGTCTAGTTGTGGTGTTAAAATAATAACTGCTCGGCTTTGTTTGGCAATAGCTGATTTATTTTTTCATACCGAGGATCGATTGATCATCATCATCATCCTATTTTAGAGCCCAGCTCTTGTCGGTGACTGATAATAGTGGTCATTTTACAATTCAGGATAAAGTGATTCATATCCTACCGGATAATTTTATCTACGCGGTTTGTATTTGTATATAAATGTTGCTAGGTAAGCGGGGCATGTGCGATGTGTGGAAAAAATATCAATACAAATAGTGTTTTTATAGGTGATCATCAACATTGCGATGTAGCAAAAAAATTATAAAATGCTAGAATGCGGGGGCATTTTTTTCACATACTGTCAATGCCCACGAAATCTCCAGTCGAGTTGTTGAGTTAAAATTCCCTGCATTTGGGGAATTCGCCACAAATTGGCAGTACTATAGTTAGTTCAGAAAAGTCTGACGTAAGAATCGGACGCCTATCGGACGTGTATTGAGTGATTATGATCCGATAGTCGGATCCATGTCGGATCCGGCTATCAGACGAAGTCGGACGTATATTCCATCGCTGAAGGTTGAAACCAGTATAACAATAGTACTTTTTGTGTACTAAGGGTGGTAAATAAGAAATTATTAAACGAGAGTTTGTGAGAAGCCCAAAACCGAAGGCTGAGGGCTTTAATGACTCGAGATTTATAATTTTTACCGCCCGTGCTACATACAATGTTTTTCATTACATTTGCGAGGAAATAGATACAACGATAATTTATTTCTTATGTTATTTGTTATGTTTTTTTAAATAGATTGCTAGCCATTCTTCCTTATATATATAATAATACAACTCGAATTAAAATGTTGTAAAAGGCATAGACGCATGTAGTGAAAATTACTTATTTTATATCTATATATTTATATGTACGACATATTAGATATAAAATAAGTAATTTCCAAATTCTAAAATACTCCAGAATTTGAGTACACAAAATAAATTTAGTAAAATATAGTTAAATTGCAAATGTTCCGTTTTTTGTACTTCTAGTTTATGTGAATTATACCGCCAGATTTTTCAAGCATAATTTTTTTTATTTAATCTTGACGAAAAAATCCATAGGGTGGTAATGTAATGAAAAAGTCCGTGTGCACAATTTAGGACATTACGGTCGACTTTACTTTTTTGACTTTTGCTTTGATAGATTTTGTATTCGTTAGATTATACAAATCTAGAAAACTCGGACCCACTTCGGATGTCGCTTGTGCGTTAAGCCCGATTTGAATCTGAGAAAATACGAATATCGCTTGTACACCTAGCTTTGCCTGTGATATTTCGGACCATTCTTTCTCGTATTTGGAATACGAATCGGACGTAATGCGCAAACGTTCTAATGGCGCGCTTTTTAATATTCTAAAAAAAAACAAAACGTAATCGTTTGTTTTTACGTTTTTACGTACCTATACGTATTGCTTAATTTCGAGTATACGGAATATGGTTGCAATGAACCATAACTGCTGCACCCATTTCAATGAAATATTCTAATATAAAATATAAGTAAAAATTAAAATTGTCGCTGATGATAAACAAACAAACTTGTAATTAACTATGTAATGTACTTAGACCAATAACTTAAACAATGACATCTACTATACACAATCTAATAAACATGTTAAGCATTTAGATTTACCAACTTTAGGTGTAGATAAATTAGTGTCTATGCAGTTTTGGTGTATTGGTATGCTATAATAATAATAATAATAAATTGTCTTCTCTGAATAAATAATTTTATTATTACTATAACTGATAGCTCCTTAAACATTTTCAACATATGCTATGGCAAGAAGGAGTTCGAAAATGATATTCATTGATTTGTACCTGTAATGAAAAGACACATTTTGCGTTTGCTCTAAGAGTGAAAATAAAATACAAATTCCGTTCCTCGAACGAGTGGCGGAGATAACATAGTTCGAGTTCGAGGGTCGACCGTAGGTACGGGTAGAGAGGATTCCATTGATTGATAGGCAATTTGATTTCAATAAAAGCAATCTAAAAAGTAGGGCATAGCATATTGTGTAACTTTTGTAAATGTTTTAAGAGCTTCGTTTAACAATAACAATATTTTAAAGGATAAGTACGTAATGTAGTAGGTGGGTGTGTAATATATTTGTATGTAATATTATTATCATAGTTTTAGATATAGCTATTAAACTATGTTTGCTGGTATATACAAATAGGGTTGGGGCATGGAAAAATATACATAAGTAAAAAATATTTCTGTATACTTTTAAACATTTTTTCCTAAATTTTGACTCTTATATACAACTGAGCCAGAAAAATTATACCTTTTTACCTAGTTTTAACCTAGTGAATTCCTTACACTGGAAGTACTAGAGCAAAAAAAATCACAAAATAGACCTTACACAATATTTAAGATACTAAAATCGAAGTCGTAATGAGGTACGACAAAAACAAACGTTAACTTCATATATCAGCAATATACTAACTACCTGTGGCGCAGGGTGGAGCTGTGTGTACTGGATGTGGGAGTTTTGAACTCCACTACTGGGAACGTGCTGTCCGTGAATCATTGGAATGTCAAATTCTTCGTCGCCAAAAGATGGAGTGTGGAACGTCTGAAACAAATTATTTCACTAAGTTAATAATTTTCTAGAGTTCGCCACGAGCATTGCAGAGTTTTAATGTATGAGAACGGTATTTTTTTACTGAATACTTTCGTATTATTATAATACGGTTATGTAGCACATATTAACTGTGCCAAAAAGGAAATTTATTTATGACGATCTATGTAAATTACTCTTCATACAATGTAAACACTATAATATACTGGTATTAAAAACTAAAAAAACGGCAGTCATCATCGTTACTTGGTAGTAGTAAAGTTTTCCGTCCTTTGGGATGAAATTCTAGTTGGCCATACTGCTTAGGAAGGTTCAAAACGGCCACCGTAAAGGCCATTTTGAACCTCCCTTACTTGGATAAAACTTAAACCTATTGATAAATTCATTAGTGTGAAATGGCTACAAAAACAAATTTTTTTAACTTATTTCAGCCATGTGTGTAAGAAAGTTAGGGACTAAATTTCTTTGGTGAAATAACTTGTTTCACTTTTTATTTTTGTTGACTTTAGGTAATTTATTTTTAGTTCGTTAAATATCTATGATAGTAAAAAAAATGTTTGGGACGTAATAATAAAAAGCTTAACATGTCTACATCTATAAACTTGAAACCACAGAACACAGAAACACGTAAAACATAACAAAATATCTTCGAGTTTTAAAGAAACCTCATTCCTTTTCTTTTAAGACGTTTTGTTTTTGTTTCAAAACATACATTACGCTAAGAAGACCCAACTTTATTCAAATAAGAACAGGTCTAATGTATTCTTTCTTCGACCTTACCTACTTAACATAAAAGTTGAGCGTAAGAAAGTCTGTATGAGAATAACACAGCGCAAGTTTCTATACAATTTAATGTCGATAAAAAGGTCTTGTTCTTATTGTACTATTGTTATTTGCGCCATTGTAGTGTTAGAAGAATTGTCGAGTATTTTCTTTATAACTTGGTAAGTAAATATAATTCTAGTTACGACGATAGTAAGTGCGAATTAAAAAGCATAATAAAAGCCTGTCTGAGGTAGTTTCGTATGATTTGTGTTTTATATACATAATGATTTTGCAATTGGTCTCTAGATTATAGTGTACAATATAATTGTTTACAATCATGCAATGAGACTGTAGACCGAATTTACTAAGTTATCTTCGATGACATTATGCTCAATAGAGCTGAAGAAAAATAAGGGCAGAAGTGGTCAGAAAAAAGTAAAATACAGACTATTTGGTAACGAAAGTGTATTTATTGAGTGCTTAGGTTATCGTAAATGTTACACAGTCAGCCATAACCATGGAACCTATAAATGGCCCGAAAGGTTGGTTTGTTCAAAAAACAATTGAACGCGATTTAGATCCCAAAAAGTTTCATTTCGAAAGAGTATGGCTGAGCGCCATTTAACGGTTTAAGTAACTAATTCTTACTTAATTTAGGGAGATCGTCATTTTTATATAAAATAAGAAAATCAAATTACGTAAACATTTTATATTAATCAATAAATAATGGAATGACAGAGCATGAATAGTTACTAGGGAACGGAACACTTCTTTGTGAAGTCTTGTGGCTGGTGCTGGAGAAAGTGGAATGCACCACGAAGTTTATAAAATTCCTGAGACTATTGCATGATAACATTGAGTGCTGTTAACGACGATCAGTCCGAGTTCTTTCCCGTTACCTGTGGGGTGAAGCAGAGCTTCGTACTGGTGCCCAAACTATTTGCGAATGTAATTCGAAGTTGCAGTCCAGGAAGTATTACACACAACTTTTGAAGGTGTCCGGATCCGCTTCCGCACAGACAGTCAGCTTTTCAATCTAACCAGCCAATTGTCACGGATATCGTGTATGCGGACGATCTATGTTTTGTAGCAGAAACCACAGAGGGCCTGCAACAGCAATTTCGACGAGTTTTGCCGATAATTAGGTTTGAAGATTAGTGTCAAGAAGACGGAAGTATTGTCTTTGGTTTATCACGGTCACGAGACACTAGCCATTACACTCGGCGAGGACGAGCTGAAGCAGGTCAACAAGTTTCGTTATTTGGGCAGCATGATCACATTGAATTGCGACCTTGATACAGAAGTCAACGGAGAATCGAAGCTGCAGCAGCTTTTGGTAAGCCTAATTCCAAGATCTTCTGCTCCCATAATTTAAGACTGGCTATATTATATTCTGCCGAAACATTGACCGTGTATCGTCGGCATATCCGTATGCTCGACCGGTTTTACCTCAGATGTCTCCGGAAGATTCTAAAGATCCGATGGTCTTATCGCGTGTGAAATAATAAGGTATAAATAATAAATAAAAGTAATAAATAATAAGGTAAATTGAGGAGGGCAAGCGTAAGCGTGGCGGACAACTCCTTAGGTACAAAGAAGTGCTAAAGCGTCACATGAGAAGGGCTATATAGAGCCTTCACTATGGGAGCAGCAGTCTGCCAACTAGCCGGAACAGCGCTCGGAACTTGATTTTAAGCGGAACGAACTAAAAACCCGACCATCTGCGGTAATCAGGGTACGAGGACCTCCACCCAGAAGATTGGCTACATAAGCCACATGCGCGCCCACGAACGCCTTAGCTTAAATCGGCTGGGAGCATACAGATATCTTGAGCCATCTTCTTAAAATATTCTCTAAAAATATTAAAATCAGTTTTTTTCAAATAAATATGCATTTAAAGTTTGATTCTATGCTTGTCACTACATGTACCTAGTAAGAATAGAACATATTGTGATGAAACTCTATGGATAGTCCGAAATCACGGAAAAAAAGAAATATGCTCATGATAGTTTGTTATAGCGCAAAATAAATTAGGTGTTCATGGTATAAATTTTATTAAATCGAACATAACCCGCACATAGCGTATTACATCGGCCGATGAGAGTCATAAAGTTTTATTTTATCGCAGTTTAGGAGATGCATTTTATATGATTCCATTTGACTTAACCAAGTTTTTATAAGACAACTCAAATATTTTAACACATTTTATATGTCTCCGTATTTGGTGATTATATTGAAGTTGTAATTTAAGTATAGGCAAGTAAATGTTGTTAGTTACTAAAGTGCCATAGTTTTTATGACTTTTATGTTACATTTTGAGTTTCTTAATTCTCCGTTATCTTTTTAAGATGATGGTTTTACAGCCTATGCTAAATAAATAAGTAACACTAATAAGTTGAATTATAGAAAGTCTAAAAACTCAGTTCTCAGTGGGTTACTATACGTAAATTCCATTTTTAAATGCTAGTCTGTAAACTTTTGCTGTCTGCCTTTTTTGTTACTGACTCGCCAACTCACTTTAATTCGGAACATTAGTAATATATAGGACTCTACCTCGACGGAATTCTGAGTACATAGAGTTCACATTTTGGTGTCACTTTTGTGATTGCAAAATAGAAAATATGTCATCTAACTTAGAAATATTGATAAATATGCTAACCTGGTCGTTCATAGCGTACACACTCAATTTGGTGTCGCGAGATGCTGACAGCTCGATGTTTTCTGGTCGCTGTAACAAAATAAAACCAATTTTAGAATACGCTGGTATAGTAGTCGATGAAAATTACTTATGTTAGCTCCTCATGCATCCTAGAGATATATAGTATCCGTAACGATTTGGTATTGTAACCTCCTAAAACCACACGATGTCTGCATCAACCAATTGAAAAAAATAATGTACAACATTTTTAAAATATTCTCTCAAAACTTTTCAATTTGTTTTTTACCAAAACCGTTAGGGACACCGTGTATCTTAAGGATGCATGACAGATTAAAAATACTTTAAAATTGGAAGTTGTGTAACGATATCTTTGCTGCCGAACTATCAATAATTAAACTCATCAGAATTGCATTTCCATCAGCAATGGATCAGAGTTTTACTAAGTATCTAATAAGTATCATTATAATTAAAAAAATATACTTGAATACGTCTGTTTTAAATAGAAAGTACATGTTTTGTCATTTAAAATATTCAAACAGTTCAACTTGATTCATAAATATATAATAATGTTTGTTCAAAATGGAAGTGAATATACCTAGTAAGTAATAATAATCGCTATGTTGATGTATAATAACACTTAGCCCTAGATAAAAGGGAAATGTAGCACATCATCGTGAGCGGAGCAAACATACTAGGTTTTAATAAAACCGTCTATAAAGATAATCACAGTGGTGGATCACTTTCTGGTAAAGATTTAATTTGCTGCGATATTGATTCTATTACTACGCGGCCCTACGAGATGTTTCCTGGCGATGTGCCGGCCACAATTTCAGCGATCACAAGTAATTCCTCTATCCGCCGATCGATGGGCCCGCAACATCCTCGTTAACTTCCCGACATGATAGTTAACATCAATTTTGTTATACTTTTTTATTTTAAACAATATTAAATTCTGCCCGGTCTCGCTGAGTAAATTGTTGATTACATCTTACTAGACTGGAGGATAGTAAATTATTCTAAGCTCAAGCTGGTTACACGTAAACTCAATTTATCTATCCTGAAACTAACTCTGGCCAATTATACTGTAATGAAAACGCTTTTATTGTACGTTCACGTTGTGTAGACGTACGTATGAGAATGTTTAATGCATGAGATTCATTCATTGCAGAGATTTTCTGTTAGAAAATAAATCGGTCTTCTTAACAGTTTTATTACGTTCAGCGTCATTATATAGCCAGTATTTTCAGGGGTTTTTTTTTTCAAGACAGAGCATGAAACGAAATATCTATATCGAATTGAATAACATTGACTATCGACATATCTATGTAAGTCCGTCCAGGGAAGTACTACCACCTTACATATTTCTGCCGCCAAACAGTAGTGTGAGCATTACTGCCGGCCGACTTCGGATGTCACTTGTGCACTTCGCCCGATACGAATCCGAGAGAAACAGATATTGCTTGTATACCTAAAGATTACTTCTAACTATTTGTCCTCTCAATCGCAGTCAACTTTTGGCATTGTTAGTACATACGAAGACGCAGGAGAAATAAATAGTTTTGGTTACACCTTCTCATGACGAACCGACTTCTCAGTGGAACATTTTATAATAATTACAATGAATTTAAGCGAGGTCGCAAGAAATTTATTTACCATTATTTATTACTGAATGGGTGTGCCCACATCTCTGAGTGTCACTGCAACTGCTATGGACGGCGTGTCGTTTACCACCAGGTACACGACATGTTCGGCCCGTCACTTGGTATTATATAAAAAAAGGTAGTATATCTTGCAGCATAATACGGTGCATGAACATCTTTTTTCTTAGTCTTTTGGTTTGGAATCTTTTTGTGGTTTAGTCGGGCACTTATTGAAATTAATTTCAAAAATGTTAAGTTCTTTTTGAAAGAAGGTTTGTTTGTGTGTTTGTATTCAGGAGGTGTGTTATTTTGACAAGAAACTGACGAGTGGTTTTTTCTTGGAAAAAATGAACAAAACAACAACATATTGCAATTAGAAGTGTACGAAAAAGTTGTACTCCTCCTCCTCCTGATGTACTATTTGTAGGTGTGCTGCGTGTATTTTTTTCAGTTGGTGTGAACCACGGATACATATATTCTCCAATTCATTTTTGAGATCCGCTCGCAATTTTCTGTATAACTACCGGAAGTGGCGTCTACAACGTACGAACTGTAATGACTACCCAAAGACCTAAGGTATTTCTGGATACATTTACAAGTACCAAGTTTCCTGTGCTGAGGATCCACACCGTTAGACCATAGTCCTACCTTGACTAAATTGCTGTTTTACATTAAATTATTATTATTGTGAATTACCTCCTTTAGTCAGTCTATTCGACTATTTTAGTTTAGCAGTGTTACGGAACTATAAAAGTGTAGCAGCGTATCCTTTGTGTTCCCTTCTTCTTCATGTAATGTGTAGCTTGTACGTTTCTAATTCCTATTAGAGTATATTTTTGTTTTCCTTTTTATATGTGATGTGTGCCTTACAGCTTTTCTTATTTTAGTTCACCATAAACTCTCTTTAAATGTAAAATTTGACGTTTGATTTGAGGCCTAGACTCAGTCCAGTGTAGCTCTTGACCTTTTTATGCTACAATCTGTAGTAAACCTTAAATAAACTGACTTCAAATGTGTTGTTTCTTGGCGTATTTCCGAACTTTATACATAATTATATCCCAATAATATGAACTGATGGAAAAACGAACTATTTTCCTTGAAAATTTTGATTAAAAAATAAACGGAATATAATAATGGATGCCTTATCTGTGACAAATAAAAGACAATACTTTTTTGTTTTTAGAAACACACTCGTTTGTCGGATATTGTGATGCAAATCCAGCTGTTCGTTAAATATTTGCGTACTTAAACATTTTTTCGTAATTATGAAGGCCGTTTGGTTTGTTGGCGTCGTAACATTTAGTTTTAACAAGTTTAAACTTTATTTAAGATGAATACTATAATACTACTTATTCTATCACTCATTAAGTAATTTGTTTTACTACAGTACCTAGGTACTTGCAGAAAAATACTTAACAATCGAATTAATTCTAATTAAATCAGATAATGTATGATAAAAAAGCACATATACAGGTATATATGTGTTTGTTATTGACAATTTGAAGTTTACTTAATGATTGTTCTTCAAAGTAAACCTATTGTCATACAGCAAGGTCATTTAATTATCTAACAATACAAGTAAGTACTTATTTTTAAAGTAATTAAACTTTACAAACAATTTAACTCGGACGAGTTTATTACATCCGTGAATAGTCATTCCTTGAGTTGTATTTCTTGGAAACTTGATTCTTGATGTGAATTAATGTTAATTTTAATTAATATTTCTAATTCAAATCTATTCAATCTCTTTTAAAACCAAATGAATACTCTATCATCGTCTTCATTGTCACTTCCTTCAGGTGAAATGAAGGAGGTAAAAATAAGTGCGACATTTGATTTATAAAATAAGTAAAAAAGTGTGAATAAAAAAAAATCATACCCCAATTTTATTTTTGATTCACTGTAACAAATCATCAAATTACAATACGAGCTAGTTACTCTGGTGTTGTTGAGTATAGAGGGTGTTTAACTAGGGGGCAATAAAACCTTATGTCACTCTATATAAAATTTAAAGTAATTTTTAACGACTTGCGATATATTTACATATTTTTAGAGATTGTATACAAGAGTGAAGTACAAAGCGTATACAAATGTACTTAGGAAAGGCTAAAGAGGTTTCTAAATAGTTCGAATCAATAATAATATTAATAATATCTTTACATAATCAAACACTTTAGTCCTACAAATAGTACAGGGCGAGCTAAACAAGACTTCTAAGTGTAGGTATAAAATAAAACAGGCAGTAAAAGAAAGGAGTAACAGATTTAAGAGACTGCCTCTTAAACTAGACAAAGAGTCTGTGTCATAGGAGACAGTGTTGAGTTAGGCTAGACAAAATATTTACCTTTAAGTAAAACAAAACGAAAAACACACATCGGCGGAACACTTGTAATGTTCCCAAATGTAGTATTTTTCAAAAGTTTGATCGATAATTTTAATAATAATAATAACACACTCAACATAGCCCCGCATTAGGGAAACCCTGCGTCGCGGGTGCCATGGACACACACATAGTCAACCACAAATCACTCCTAAACTCACGAGAGAAATAATTGTAGGCCATACAAATATTTTCCCGGCCCAGGAATCGAACCTGGGACCTCTGCGTGGTAGCCCTTCGGCCACAGAGGCGGTTATATTTCAATTTTTATTAACCGTCTTCAAACAAAGAAGAAGGTGTCAATTCGATTCTATTTTTTTGTGTATGTGACGTAATTACTCTGACATTTGTGAAGCCATTTCTAGATTGATTGTTGTATTTTGGTTGGAAAGGGGATAGCACACTAGTGGTCCCATTCAAATTTCAAGAAAATGTTCCACCTCTAGGGGTGGCAAATTAGGGGGTGAATCCGGTTTATTGGATTTCACCCACTTTCCGCTAACGGATTTCAATAAAACTTGGCAAATCGATGCAATTCCACAAACTTCTGAGGTCGATTTTTTCTTGTATAAAAAAAGTATAATTTAATTAATTTTAGGAGCAATTGAAATGTAAAAATTAGTCGGCTATTATTTTTGTCTTTTATTTTTAAAAATTACCTACTAATACAGGTTAGCAGAGTAGTTGCAGGCTGTTTTTGCGTGCAAATTTCGTAAACTTTGAGTAATAGTAGTAGTATATTTATAGTTATATGTATATTGTGTGTGTGTACCACACACTATACATATAACTATAAATATACTATAAATATAATATAAACTATAAATTAAATTTTAATATATATATATATATATATATATATATATATATATTAAAATTTAATTTAATCAGCTTTAAACTGTTACGACTTTCAGTTGTTTCAGCTTTGTCATAAAACCTAAATCTCGATTGTTTCAATAAAGGTTAAGTAAGGCTGTATTAAGTCAATTTTGAAAGATTATATTACAAGAATTTAATTGCTATTTTACGTCCAATTTTTTTTGATCAGA